CTCATGCATCTGTAGATGTTAATAACGTATGGCAATCGCTTCTTTGATTTTAGAGAACATAACATAAATAAACATAACATACGTAAAATTTAAAAATAATCATTCAGAAAGTTAGGGGCTTTTTGGTTTTACCTTATTAAGTAATTGTTATCAGGTAGTAATTGTTAATTTTGAAGTTTAACTTGATGTAATGTCATTTTAACAGAACGTCAACGGTTTCTTGTAGACGTATCTGTTTTAAAAAAAGTGTTTTCGAATAGTTGAATTTAAATATTTTAAATAGTTTTTTTCTTTATTTTTTTGTATTTTTTTGCTTCCGACGACGGAAAGAGATAACTTTCGGAAATCTTATGCATTTTTTTCTTTGTTAGGCAAATTTGTATTACTGTAAACATAACTTCTGACAAGCAGCGTCCGTTTAGGTTTAACGCAGAAGTGTTTACAAAAAATAACTATTTTATTTTGTAGATTTTCTTGCAGTGCAGTGCGAAATACCCATAAAGAATTTTTTTGTTGACATATGATATGTCATTCTATTCAGAGTGATATTTTCTTTCGAGTAAAGTAAAAAAATACCGAGGGTGCCATTTAAAAATCAAAAGTTGTAGTTATTTCCGGTTAAAGAGGAAGTGACCAAAAACAATTGAATTCGTCAATTAATCCTAATTTATGTCATATACCAAATCTCGTTTTTTATCTGAAGAAACAAAAAAGTTATAGGGGTGAGCCACTCTTGAGACGCAGCCGGTATAGAATATATACCGGTAAACTCTGCGATTTTGATAAATTTTTGGAAAAGGGGCTAAAATCATAAATATACAATATAAAATTAAAAGGTCAAGATATAAAAAATAGGAATCATCGATAAGAAGCTTACACCTGACATAAGTAAGCACTTAGAATAAATAAGATTATTCTATTCATTGCTAGTCCTATTTGTGTCCATTTTATTCACCTCTTTAACTTGGTTCTCCTTAGACCTGATATCGGTGTTGTCCCTAATCTATAATAGATCTATAATCTATAATCCCTCTCTCTATTGCCTTTTTAATTTGAGAACAATATATATTGGTAAGACCTGACCATGGCCCTACCATCTCGAGTTGATGACTCTTCAACGTGATGTCCTTATATAGAGTTTTGAGCCTGGGTAAGGCAGAGCAAGTATGTGGTGTCTTTCCCCTTGCTCCTCGACAGAAAAACCATGGTTGTTGCCTGTATAGGGATGTTTTATCCCTTTCTTGCACCCAATACCGGCCCCTGCTAATTATTAAGCTTAGGTGCCGTTTCCACCACCCAATCCGCCGATTCTTGAGAAGCTCTGGCCCACATTTTCTAGAACGTTGAGTTGCAATCCCCTCGCTACTACTTTGTCCAGTATCGCCTCTTTTTGAGCCGTTTGCTTGTTGGGGGTCAGTGCAACTCAGGGTAATCCTTTGGCAGCACCGCTATTTTCATCTGTCCAGCAATAGCGGCAAAGCTGGCGATACGTCCCTACTTGCCTCTCGGTGTTAGACGGTTTACCATTTTGCACTCACGACTTGCACTGCGAATGTCCCCAGTGTTGCTAGGGGGTTTCCCTCCAACTTCAACGCAATTTTCCCCCTTGTTACAGCACATTATCTTCCAAATATGTGTTAATTGTTTTTTCTCAGCGTTCAATTACGTCATTTTGAGAAACGTCAACTTTAATAGTTCTAAAAAAGGCTTCTAGCCGTTTTTAGAAAAAAATGGCAAAGAATTACCCTGAATTGCACTGACCACCGACAGGCATACGGCTCGAAAAGAGGCGATATAAGAAATGTTCCAAATGGATATTGCCAAAAATCGCCTAAGTATTTAATTACGTCGGTTAGGGTATATTTGTGCAAAATTACACATTCTAGACCAAATAAGAACGAATTTTCATACAAACATATATTTAGCCTTAACTTCAGGTTTTTTATATTTTAAAAAATCGCTTCTTAGTCCTGAATATCACATAAAGATTTTTTGAATAAAGTTTCATTCTCTTAGAAAATATTTTTAAATGTTTAATACTAGCATACATCCCCAATTTACCTTCTAAGGAGATGAATTTTCAAGAATCTCTTTATAGTAGCTATGGTTTCGTTGCTTAAGGTTTGGGCTTAACCTTTGGGCAAAATTTCAATAATACATAATTATATAATTTAAGCTTAATTTCACCCTTTTAGGGAGAAATTTCCAAGAATCTTTTATGGATTTTTGTTACAACTTTTTTATATTTTTTTTTGGTTACATCACATAAGAAAAATTTTATACAAACTTGGACCCTTAATTTCACTCTTTAGGGTATACATTTTCAAAAATAGGCTCTTAATACTCAATTAGGTTACTTGAGGAATCTCTGTGTAAATCTCTACCTTTTTTTTTCATACTCGTAGAACCGATTTAAATTTTTTTGCTCAATATTTATTTTTTTTTATGAGTTTTATTACCCGTCCATTGAAAGACCATTTGGGAGGGGGCGCTTGTCCCCCAACCTTTCCTATATGATGCCTCTGGTGATGATGATTGTCATTTGACCCCTCATTTGACATAGATGCAAACTCGTAACATGGCCTCCATATACGAACATTTAAAATGTTAACATTTTCAATGTTAAAATCTTAATTAATATTTGACCGATAATGAGGAAAATCAGTTATCTGTTTAGATATAATACGGTCACAAACACAACATAATTTATTATAAATATATATGTATACATTTTGTTTATAATCTAATCTATAACAACAAATTATTAAAATGTTTAAATTTTTGCACAAATGTAATTTTTTTATTACTTTCTCCTTTAAAATAAACTATATTTTTGTTTTGTGCACATTTATAACATGCTTTTTTACAAGTATTAAAAATATTCATTACTTTTTTCCGATACCTACTAATACCATTTAAGTTAACTAGTATGAATTTAATTAAATTATTTTTTGTTTTTAAATAAAAACCAAAATAACACTCATATTTATTATTAATATAGAAAGCGACTCTCATTAGGTTTATATATAAAGTAAAATTTATTACAAGAAAAAAATATATGTTTATATATAAAAATAGTTAAATAATAAAGGTATATTAATTCAACAAATGTCAATGAAATACACTTTATACAAATGATTGTCTTAATTACTATAGTCAAACGATTCCCATTCTGAAAATCGGGAATCTTGTTTTTGCAGTCTTTGAGTACATTCTCTTATATAAGAGTCTTGTATTCTGTACATGCCCGAATTAGCTTGAAACATCAACGTCTCCAGTATACGTTCATTCTTGATGGCTTTGGAAGGAAGGACGACCTAGATAAAAACAAAGAAATTTTTTTTTTAAAATGTTCCAATGTATAGACACTTGATTGGCTCTGCTACCAAATGTGAGAAAATAAGCGACAAAAAACAATCGGGCATATACAGGACATATACAGGATACCCAGGCTTGGGATAATCCCCTCTGAAAATTCGAAATTCAGAGAATTATATTTTTTAACAGGCATTACTATATAATAGCGTCTTTTTCAAAATTCATTCCAAAAAAATATGTAATCTTGTTTCATATATACAGGGTGAGTCAAAATTAAATGTTTTTCTCCGCTACTTTTATTGGAGCACCCTGCACTTTATAACACAATCGAAAATAGATTGGTTTAATCTTTTTGTTTTATTTAGCACTTCCTATACCTAAAATAGATATTTAATATGATATTTGTATTTTTGAAATTATAAGAGAAGATTTGACTTTCGCTCTTTTTATCATTAAAACTGTCAAACCTATGTACTATCTACTTACTACATAGAGGAAGTGCTTAATAAAACAAAAAGATTAAACAAAACATTGTTCGATTATGATACAAAATACTGCTATATAATGTAGAGAAAAATACATTTAGTTTTGACTCACCATGTTAGGTATTTATATCAAACAAGACTACAAATTTTGATAATTAATAAATTTAACAATAATTAAATAAGCAGTAAATTTAGTTTAGAAGTGGTTATATTTCAAAGAAAAATATGTTTGAATCACCTTGTTTGTTTACAAAAATATTTTTTTTTCGGAAGAAAATTCATTGTAGTATTCATACATTGTAGACACGTCCAGGCAGTGATAATCAGAAAACCAACTTAACCCTACCGCAATGTTGCCAATTTCAGTATAACAAAATATCCGTTGGACGTAGGTCAGTGTGCACACTAAATATTCTTATTAATAAATAATAAGTTCATTTCATAATATTCTTATTTAGGGATATTTGACTCCCTTGGCCATAATGGTTGCGTATCCAGTGATTTTGGCTTAATAGCAATTCTGTTGTTTAATTTTACAAATACAGAAATAAGGTACTCCGTGCCGCTTCGCGCCCGGGCCCGGTTATGTAAGTAAAATAGTAGTCATATTATTTATTTACTTTTCTTTATTTGATGTAATTTTGAGTTGTTAATACATTTTTTTGATTGTTTTTGTAATATCCTGTTAAATATAATATAATATATAACTTGTAGTAATGAAGGAATGGGCCGGTATACTAATTCTTCTCACAGATTTGCAAGTTTTCCTCGGTAAATATGCTCAAGAGGTAAATTTACCATTTAGAGGCAATCAGAAGCGAGTTGGAACCTGCCCTGTTTGTGAAACCCTTACAATCTATCGGTTTGTGCAACTCATGCAACAAATTTGTTTGCAGAATCTGCATTGAAAGACTAATCAATTGTATTATCTGTAGATATCTACCAATAAAGAAAAACTAAACATTTAGATAGATACTTTAGTCTACTTCCAGTGGTTTAAAATGTTTTAATTCTTTCTTTTGTATGTTTAAATTGTTCTATTTCGTTCCTTTTATTATAATATGTTCTATTTCGTTCCTTTTATTATATGTTCGGTATGGTATATTTTTTATGAGTTGGTAAAGGTTATATAGAATTCTTTTTATTTTGAATATTAAAAATATTTCGTTTAGTTCATTTTTTATAATGTGTATAAGGTTTTTATGTGTTGCTAATTTAAATAAGTGTCTAAAATGTTGCATGTTATTATTGAGCATCGTAAATTTCACAATAAAATATTCTAAAGTAGGTACAGAACAATAAAAATAGAAATCCGTTACGGAATATCACGACGCGCCCAGTCGTTTGATTCTTAAGTACGCGCGCCCGCCCGAGGGTTAATCTACAGCTTCCTAAGAAAAGAAATTAAAAATGTCCACCTGTTAACTTATATTTAGGTAAGCGGTTTAACTTGATTTCTATGGGTAGTAATGTGGGTTGTAATTAATGTGAAATAATAATAATAATAATTGTTCTCTCAGGCTAGCTAAGGCATTTTTGTTAGATTGTAATAATTGTTTATAGTATAAAGTTACTCCGCAGCGGCAACGTGGCATTGTTTGGGAAATATCGTAAATTATTCTTGATCTGCAATTTTCCCGTATATCGCGAGTTGTAATAAAAAATAATTTGAACTTTTTATTCGTATAGTGAAATTACATGTTTACAATTCGATGCTGAGGTAAAAAATCTAGAATTAAATATAAATAGTAGCAAAAACGTATAAAGAAATTTCAGGAATCTAAATCTAACTGATAAGAGAATTGAGGTATTTAGCGGTTTCTCGTTAAAATTGTTCTTGCTGTTGCCAGCTCGTGCCGAGAGCAGGATATTTGGGGATTGATAAGAGCAAGGGACTTCCGATCCGTTGAGGAGAGTCTGTTCTTTTCGCAATCCCTATAATTAAAAGGAAAATAATATGGAGCAAAAACAAAAACAATCCGATATGAACGAAATAAAAGAAATGTTTGATTTTATTAGAGAAAATATGCAAGTAATGAATGGTAAACTATCCGATGTTATAAAGGAGCTGAGAGATACTAAGCTAGAAAATGCGGCGATGAAGACAGAAATTAAAGCGCAAGGAATAAAGATTGCCAATTTGGAAAGAGAGATTAGAAAGAAAAATCTGATTTTTAAAGGTATTATGGAAGATGAAAAAGAGGACTTCGAACTAACCAAACACAAGACAATTAAAATTTGTGAATCCTTGGGAGTGCCTATTAAACCAGAATTTGATGTAGACCAGGTAAGAAGAATAGGCAAACAAATCCCAGGTAAAACGAGACCAATATTAGTACAATTCACAACTACAAATAAGAAATTCGAAATACTAGGAAAAACTAAAGGATTAAGAGGATCTAACATATGGATTGATGAGGATTACCCAAAGCAAATACAAGAAGAAAGAAAAATTCTGGTGTCCGAAATGAAAGAAGCATGGAAAAAGGGCGAAAAAGCAAAACTTAGATACAACAAACTAATTATAAACGATAAGGTATATGATGCAAGCAACATAATAAATATGGAGTAAACAAGCCAATATAATAACGCCGACAAGAAGAGAAAACCCGATATGAGATCACAGGAAATTGATAAATTTGGAGAACAACTGAGAAAGATTACACGAACTTCAAAAAACTAGAACTAACCAATGGATTAAGGAGCAGGATTATCGGACATGGAACTTGGCATTAAACGGACATTGAAAGGAACCTTAAATGGAAAAGGGCTAACATTTGGTACATGGAACATCCGGTCGCTAAATGACAAAGAGGGCGAACTAATTAAAGAATTTGAAAACATTGACCTAGACATACTAGCTATAACTGAAACTAAAAAGAAAGGAAAACAAACAGTTGAATTAAGACGCTTCCAACCTCTAGATCTTGTCGGCGTAGTTCTTCGACACGCCCAAACTTCTCATTGAACGTCGCAGCGATTCCTCTGGACATCTGCAAATCTCGGGACACACAGTGAGCGAGCGAATAATAAGGAGGCACGGAAAAGAGGTTTCGTTGTTCTTCTTTGGTTACACCATAGCGAGTCTTCTCACTGCTGTTGTATCGGGCCATGAAATCATCAAAGAACATCTCCGAATCAGAGGGATCAAAGCTGCAGGTTCTCATACGACGTCATTAATCCTATCCATGACTTCGTATGGGCCTTCCCACGAGGACTGTAGCTTCGGAGATAATCCACGACGTCTCTGCGGGTTGTACAGCCACACCAAATTCCCTGGTTGGTATCCCCCATGCTCAGCTTGAATGTCGTAGTGCTCCTTCATTCGGTCACTAGCGCTTTGAATCCCCGACTTCTTCTCCCGGTCGGCAACCAAATTTCAGATCACAGGGTAGGCGCACTTCCCGTCCCATAACGATGCTAGCTGGAGTTTGCCCTGTAGATTCTTGGACGGATGAACGGTAGGCCAACAGGAACAGGTGAAGAAATTTGTCCCAGTCTCTTTTGTGATCAGAGACTACTTTGGCCAGATAACGGTTGATAGTTCTGTTCATGCGTTCAACCATCCCATCGGATTTTGGTTTGGTTTGGTTTGGTCTTGCGGATGTTAAGGACTTCACAGATGCCTTGGAACAGATTGGACTCAAAGTTTCTTCCCTGATCTGAATGCAGCTCCATGGGAACACCAAACCTGCAGATGCATTCCTTAACAAGAGCATGAGCAATGGTGGACGCTTCTTGATTTGGCAACACGTAGACTTCGACCCATTTGCTGAAGTAATCCATTACTACCACAATGTATTTGTTGCCATCGTTCGTCTCCGGGAAAGGACCAGCCACGTCGATCGCTATTCGTTCGAAGGGACTGCCTACATTGTACTGGCGCATTGGAGCTTTACCGCGCTTTTGTGGCCCATTGATAGCAGCGCAAACATCACATTTCTTGCACCAAGCCCTCAAGTTTTCTTTGCAGTTCACCCAAAAGAACCGTTCTCGCAGCTTGCCAAGTGTCTTGGTAACACCAAGATGTCCACCGCTGGATCCATTGTGAATTTCCTCCAAGACTTCCTGGACCCTCTTCTTTGGAATGACGATCTGCCTTCTCTCTTCTTGTCCCTCTATTCTCTCGATCACACGGCGAAGTAACCCGTCATCTATTACCAAAGAATTCCACTGGGCCCAGTACGACTTCACGTTCGGCGAATATCTGCAAACTTCCTCCCACGTTGGTCTTTGGTCTGTCTTATTCCAGTTAATTACTAAACCTAATTCTGGGTCAGTGGTTTGGTCATTTGCGAGATCTTCGGGTTGCCAAATATCATTAACCACAGTTGTTCTTAGGGGTTTCGCTTCTTTCTCTTCTGCTCGGGAACAATGCTTACAGTCCTTATCGCAAGGTCTTCTGGAAAGTGCGTCGGCATTTCGATGGATTGCCCCAGCTCGATGTTCTGTGTCAAAGTCGAATTCTTGTAATTGTTCGATCCATCTAGCTACCTGCCTTTCAGGATTCTTAAACTCCAACAGTCATTTCAAAGCAGCATGGTCTGTTCTTAACAAGAACTTTCTTCCATAGAGATACTTGTAGAAGTGTTCCACTGCTTTAACTACGGCTAGTAATTCTCGTCTGGTCACGCAGTAGTTCCTTTCCGGTTTTGTCAAGGTCTTACTAAAATAACCAATTACTTTTTCTTGACTATCCTGGATTTGAGACAGAACAGCGCCTAATCCAACATTGCTAGCGTCGGTATCTAATATAAAGTTTCCGTTGCCAAAAGGATAGCTAAGTACAGTCGCACTAGTCAGGGCTTTCTTCAGTCTTCGGAATGCCTCGTCAGAATCTAAGTCCCAAGAGAAACGCCTCTCACCTTCGGTAAGTCTGGTAATGGTTTTGCGATGGTGGCGAAACCCTGTACATAACGGCGATAGTATGTGCATAGCCCCAAAAAGCTTCTGAGTTCATGTTTGTCTTTGGGTATCGGCCACTCTTCCACTGTCTTGGTCTTCTGTGGATCTACCGCAACTCCCTGGGAGGAGACCACATGGCCCAAGTAGTGTACTTTTTCTTGACACAGATGACATTTCTTGGGGCTAAGTTTCAAACCAGAGCTCACAAGTTGCTTGAAAACTTCTTCCAAATTCTTCAGATGATCGTCGAAGGATTTCCCCACCACTATAATGTCATCCAGGTACACTAAACAGGTGGTCCAGGCTAGTCCCTTTAACACAGACTCCATTAGTCTTTCAAAGGTAGCTGGCGCGTTGCACAATCCAAAAGGCATGACGGTAAATTGCCACAGTCCGGAGCCCACCGAGAACGCTGTCTTCTCTATGTCTTTCGGCGCCATGTCGACTTGCCAATATCCACTCTTCATATCTAAGGTAGAGAATATTGTCGATCCCGCCAGCGTGTCTAGAGTATCGTCTATCCTCGGCAGGGGATAGCTATCCTTCTTGGTAATATTATTGAGCTGCCGATAATCAACACAGAACCTGGTGGTACAGCCTTTCTTCTTTACTAGTACTACCGGCGATGTCCACGGGCTGTTAGATGGTTCGATGACACCCTCTTCTTTCATTTCCCGAAGGATTTTGTCAGCTTCTTCACGTTTGGCGAGTGGAAGCCTTCTCGGATTTTGTTTGATTGGCCGTGCGTTTCCGGTATCAATTTTATGTTGTACTAAATTGGTACGACCTCTTTGCCCTGCTTCTCCTTTATCAAAAACATCTTTATACTTGATTACCAGGTTTCTCAATTTTCTACTATCTTCGGGAGATAATCCCTTAACGTTTACTAACTCCTTCACCATTTTGTCCGGAATTTTTGAAGTCGAAACTTTGGAGGCTTCCACGCTTCGAATGACTGAGGAGACCGAACAACAGTACCCTAACAGGGTTCCCTTCTTCAAGGATACAAAATAATAATTCGTGTTCATTACTCTTACCGGTACAGCCTTCTTCGCTCGTAGCAGGGCTAACAGCGATCCCTCGTCCTATTTCGCTGTCATGGTTCCTTGGCTCCACCAGAATAATACTCCCATTATTCATTTTACCTTCCAGACAACCATCCAAAAATATCTCACAGCGCTCAGGGATCGAAACATCTTCTGCTACTACCCCGCGAAGCGTCTCCTCACATTTTCGATGTAGAACTACTTCTTCTTCATTTATTTTCAAAATTCTCTGTTTGAAGTTTAGTTCAAAACCTCTAGTGGTCATGATGTCCATTCCGAGAATAGGTTCATCTTCGATATCTGCTACTAACACTGGATGTTCGAAACTGGTGCTCCCAATAACAAAATTAAGGTTTACTTCTCCATGGACAGCAGCGGAGCCCCCTGTAGCAGTACGTAGTCGCCATTCTGTTGCTTTAACCTTCTTCGATGTTTCAAGAATGTCCGGTCTGATGATAGTTTTCGTCGCACCTGTATCCAACAGCATGGTCCGGAACTCTCCATCAAGAAAACCATCCACAAAAATGCTGTTGAACTTGTGTTCTAGCGAGGCGACTTGAGCAGTTTTCGTTGGGGCATGTTGGGTACAGGTCGACCTATGCCCCTTCATTTCGACCCTTAGTAGTTTTCCGACCTCGACGAAGCCGGCTCTTCATTCTTCTCCTTACAACGGCTTCGCACGTGTCCTACCTGTCCGCAGTTCCAGCATCGAATCGGCTCCTTCTTGCCTATGTACTGATCCATAACTTTCCGAACAATCCCTGCCACGGATTCGTCGGAACATTCGTCTATGGCCCGTACTCTTCCTAAAGACCGAGAACTTTGTTTCGCGGCCTCAAATTCTAGGGCACGTGCTAAAGCATCCACCAAGTGCGTTGGGTGGGCTCTAGCAAGAAGCGCTTTCCTTGTCTCGTTGTCACGTAGGCCGTCTGAGAATGCCTGTACTGCTAACAGCTCCATAATATTTTCGGGTGTAGCAGGGTACACAAGGCGAACGAGGCAGGGTATGTCCGATTCAAACTCCTGCAGAGACTCATTTGACTTCTCAATGCGATTTCTGAGCTGGGAATGGGAATAATACATGCTCTAAATGAGCCTGGCCGTACCTCATTTCTAAATGTCGTACCAATTGCTGATAATCTCGCTGTTCCGATGGTGATAGTGTCTGCAGGATGTCAGTCGCATCTCCCCGCAGTGCGATAGTCAAAGCGGTAGCTTTTTCAGCGATTGTCCATCCGTTCGCTCTTGCAGCGGCTTCAAATTGGCAAAAGTAGTTGGCCCAAGCGGTTTTTCCGTCAAACTGTGGAGGCTTCATAACTAACTTTGAAGTATACTTATTTTCGACTAGTTTCGGATCCTCCTGTATTTCTTGACATTTTGGTGAATTTGCCTTTCCCATTTCTTTTCTCAAAATCTCTATTTTTCTATTTACATCGTCCTCAATTTGTGTTATTTTGTCTTGAAGCTCCGTGGAATTCTCTCTATAATCTTTTCTTCGAATTCCCTGGAATTTTCTATTATCTTGTTATATAAACTTTCTTCTAAATTAAGTATTTTATTGTCAAAGCTGGCCTGTATATCTTTAGAATTTTCTATGATTTTATCTTCTAATTTTTGGGAATTTTCCGTAATTTTATCATTCAAAGTTTTTTGCAAATCCTGGGAATTTTCCATAATTTTATCTTCTAAATTAATTATCTTACTATTCAAATTGTCGTTTAAATTGTCTTGCAAATTTTTCAATGACGAGTCAAGGTCACCTTCCAGCTCAAAGCAAAATGTGTCAGGATCCTCACCTTCCTCAATCAAAACCTCTCTCAGTCTGGCTTGCAAAATGCTTTTCTTTCCATCTGTCTCGAACTCCCTCTCTTACAATATGCATTTTAATTCCGACACTTTCAAGTCCTTCAACAATTTTTTTCGAAGCCATTGTCAGTCTTATTTATTTTTTTTTCTAGTCTAGCAGTTCTAAATCTAGTTCCAAATCACACATCCCACTTCTGACACCAATTGTTACATTTTTCGTCGGTTCCGTGTGGATAGAAAGTCACAATTTATTTAAACACAATTTATTTAACACTAATTAACAAAAACAATAACGATTAAAAGACTTAAAGAACTATTTATAACTTATTTACAATTTATCTAATTATTTATCTAACAGGAATTTATTTTGAATTAGCGCGGCGATTGTAACTGTACGCGTCGACCGGTTATTTATCTCTGTCCTGCTCAGGCCTCAGGTGTCTGCTTATATATGAGAGCAACAGACAATACAGATTTGTCCCGTCAATTCTTAGCCGTTCTAGAAGGTCGGCGTCGCCGGCGTATGAGTCATAGCCGAGTGGCCAAGCCTAAGGCCGAGTTCACACGGTATGGGTCCGCAACATTAATAAGTTTCACGTGTGTTATATTTGTCTACAAACATAACACAAAAAGTGTGTAAAAGTTATCGTTGTTGAATGTTATTTCAACTGGTCCTTCGACAGTCCATCTACCAGAGTCATCCAGATTTTGGTTCTCCGCCAAGATACATTTTGGTTCTACAAGCCAGAAACATTTTGGTCTTACGAGCCGTAACCAATAATTAAGTTCTCAGTAGTAACCATGCACCTAATATACGGCTTAGCTTTTTTGTTTACCTATTGAGAGCTTATATGTTTTGAAATAGTTTTGTAGAAAATCGTTTATCAATTTTAACAAGTTTTGAGTACAAATTTTAAGAAAGTAAGGAAGTCCATCAACTGCATAAGGTTTACCGATATAACATTCTGGTAAATTCTTGATAACATTTGGGCCAGATTTAAAAAAAAATCGCCTGCGGCCTTTTTTACTCCCTCGTCCTCTATTTTTTATTTTGAAAGTTGACAACCCTAGAGTAAGTAGTCTTCCAAGTTGGCTTAGCCTGTTAGAAAGAAGATCCCCGAGAAAGCCGAATATATAGAATACGAAGTAAAATAATAATTAATTTGTGATATCTGATTAAATTTAACTTTTGATCTCAATATTAGTACTTACATATTTTTACCTATTTTATAATAAAAATACCGAAGTAAATATTCGAAATAAACTGAAATACCTTTATAAGTTCTTGTGGCGATATTCTATATAATTTGAGATCTCTAGCTAGTCTCTCCATTATACATTTAAATTCCAATCTTGCATCTAGTTTGCTGGACATTTTTGTTTTGATTTTATGTCTTGCCCAAGCTAGCATGGCTTCGAATTTCCTAATTTCTGGTATTTCCAAATTGCTAAAAAAGTAGAAGCTATATACCTACAAAAGTTTTGTATAATAGAACATAGTTACCGGCACATTATCATTTGCACCATTGATTCACTGAGATTAAGAAATTCTGATAATTGAAATAATGCATGGGCTCTCGTTTCTATAAAAGCTAAAATCATATTTACTAATTCAGAGGCTGAAGTATATCTCCAATAGTAATTTTCCAGCGAACACAGCATACAGCAAACCTAAAAATATATTATATGTTTAAAGGTATTAGCGCCGTCAACCACCATATATACAGGGTGTCCAGAAATAAGTGCAAATATTTTAAGGGGTGGTAGTTCTCGATAAAAGAGACATATTTTCTCTTTATCGTTTTTCAAATAAGTCCAAAATAAAAGAGTTATTTTACTTTGAAAATTTCCAAAAAAAATATTTTTTGCTAAAATTTTGAGAACCACTGGATCTTTTCTGGATTTTCTTTCTTCTATATTTAATATAATATCTATTTTGCCATATTATCAAGAAATTATGTTTTTTTACTAAAAACTAAAAAAAAATCAAAAAAAAAATTCAAAAAATTTCGAATTTTCAATTTTTTTTTTGCGAAAAAACCTCATAGGCGTGTTTCTGGGGTTGAACTATACTACCAGTTAAAATATTTGCACTTATTTCTGGGACACCCTGTATATACAGGGTGGTCCAAACTATATTCCGGAAACTTTAGCAGCAAATTCTCCAGGTAAAAATAAGTAAAAAAGTTCGTATAAATTTATGCCCTAAAATGATTAGTTTTGGAAATACAGGGTGTAGAAGTTTCAATTTTATTTCGATTTTTTCCAAATAATTTCTGAAGTAACGTCGATATTTGGATGAAAATTGGTGTCTGGGAGTTTTTTGACATGAAAAATTTGATTTTGGTGTCAATATGACTCCTACTTGTAGAGGGCGCCACCTACAAATTTTGAACTGGTTTGAAGAATATTAACTTTTCGTCCATACCTGTATAAAACGAATGAGTTAAAAAATATACATTTACGGCGTTTTTACCAATAAGTCTCTTGGTAAAAATCGCTACGAGTACTACTGGTTCTTGAGATATTTGGAATCGAAATTACCAATACCTGTCATCATTGACATAAATTAAATAAATCATAAATTTGAAAAGGTTTTTGCCAAAAATTCAACAGAAACTGTTTTATCATAATTTATTCGAAGAAAAATTTATGATTAGTTTAAAAAAATAAAAAGTTGCCAAATTTCTCATTTCAGTCAAATAACTATCTGTTCAACACGTTTGTGACCCTGTATAGGTATATTATACTTTCTTATATACTTTTTTTATTTTTAGATAAAAAATTCTAAAAATTGTCAAATTTTAAATACTACTGAGTATAGATCACGCAAGTCGAGTTCGAAGGCTTTTTAAAATCAAAGTCAGTAGGCTGGCTGCCAACTTGCTTGGATGCTACGAAGACTTCTAACACAATTTTTATAAATTAGTTGATATATCACTATTCGTATAAACAGCGCAGCGTAAAATTTAGACGCTCACGATATCAGTATAAGTATATTTATGGCAGCATCCGGTTGTCTTAGGCCAAGTACAGGCTTCAATCAGGCTTTAAACTTAAATTGTGAATTAGTTTAAATAATATTAATAGTAGAAATACTTACTACATTTATCCTCAAAAATTGTTTAGCGTGATGAAAGCATGCCTGCAACAAATCTGGTAGATCATAATGTTCGGCAGCACAAATTAGACCGGGGATTGTTGAACATGTTAATGGACACGACCCTATTACCAAACAATATTATGTCGAATGTTCTCAAAACATAGCCAGTACTTACCGGTATGTAAATAGTCCAATAGTATTCTAAAAGTATCAGAGTCAAACTCAATAATTGAGAATTCAGTCTGTGCCAGTTTTGCCCGATCTACTTTCTGGGCATCTGCGCATACACTTAATCTTGGAACGGGAAGTTGAGCAGAAAATTTCTCTTTCCCGTCTTTCTCTTTTCCGTCTTTATCTACAACAAATTGTACACTTCTAATAAATAATCTATAATGTCGAATCAATTTATTTAGTTAAGGTAACTGAGCTAATTACCGACACTGTCCTAAATTATAGTCATATTTCGATATTTTTTGAGAAATTAAATAAAAAATTCCATAATAGAAAACATCTGTGAGAAAAATTCCATAATAGTGTGAGAAAATTCTATAATAGGTTATTTCAAATATGTACGTGGACTACCTAACGAGTTCTAGAGATGGAAATTAGACATTGATGAAAAGCGACACAGAGTAACAGTTTTTTTGATTTTGTTTCACATTCACAATAATGTAATATCGAGTGTAATATAGTATACTAAGGTCCATGGCCGGACTGGGCCAGAGGGGCCCGTGAGGCATTGTGAGGAGAGTCCCGAGTGGATTTTTTTCCTTTTTACTTTTTGGTCAATTTTTTCCTATTGATTTGTTGTTAGTGTTTGAAATCAGGGAACTACCCGTAATGCAATGCAAACCAAAATTCTCCTAAGAACCTCAGAATATTAGCGTTAATTTAAAAGAAGTTCGGGGACAGCTTTTATTGAAACAATTTTTTTCGAAGTCCTTACCGTTTTTCTGAAGTTTTAAAAAAACATTTTATATATATTTTTCACCCCTCCTCGGGGTGAATTAAAAAAAATCTTAATTTAAATTTATAATTTTCCAAACAAATTGAATAAAAATGTTAAATATATAAATTTTTCAACAACTTATATATATTTTTTTAAATTTCTACTATCATCCCCTAGGTTCTAGCTACCCTATCAGGGTTACTTTTGATTTGAGCAAAAAAGTGGAGACCATTTTTATGTAAAATTAGACGCTTTACAATTTTTATTTAAACTTTTTTTCTAGTTCTTACCGTTTCTCCGAAATTTCGAACAAATAATTTTATTTATTTATTCCCCTTATTAGGACTCCTTCTCGGGGTGAATTTTAAAAAAAATACATTTTGTTTTTAAACCTTTCAAAGTAACTTATATCAAAAATTCATATAAATGCCTATTTTAAGACTGGCTATATATCTTTTATGCTCTCTGGAACAGCATGCGGTCCATCTGGCTGCCGATACCCGTTGCGTTCACTACAGTGCATCGGAAGAATCTATATTTTTTTTTATTTAGTCCATTAAATTCTAATATTAAATAAAAATCGAACAAGTCTCTATAGCGCAACGCGTAGAACCGACGATTCAGAGTTCGAGACCGGGTCAGGGCAAAAACTTTTTATTTTATTTTCGTTTATATTCTGATAGTAAAGTATTAAATAATTCTGGTGATTCACAAAAAACAAATATTAAAAAGAATTGTAAATATTTAAAATAAATATTTACGAGTATTACTTACAATCCTCGCAGACTGCCTGTCTGCGGGGATGGTTAAGTATTTTTGTGATAGAACGATTACAGAGTTACGACTAAAATATAATTACACACTCACTTGAACAATCTTGGCTACTGGCCCATTTTTTCTTATCATCTGCAGATAGTTGTTGGGTGTTGTGCTTACGTATTGATCTACCCCAACCTGCCGTTATAGTACCTAGTCGTGTAAAAGCTCTTTTCACCATCGGCGAACTTGGAACACTTTTTGGTCTTGGGCTTTCAATATCGGGTACTTGTAGAAAATTGCTTGATTTTGGTCGCGATTGTTGGGGGCTTAGAAGCGTTGGTACTGGTCTGGCAAGTAACTCGGCTACAGGCACTTGTGGGGAACCAAATCTAAAAGTACAATAACATATTTTAGATTGATATACGGTATGGATCGAACTACACCCAAGAATCTTTCATATAACAATCGATGACATTCAACATATGCATATATGAAGGTGCGTCCAGACCTGACGAGACGAGAGCGAGACAAGAGCGGGACAAGGGCGAGACGAGAGCAAGGCGAGACTGCTTCTATCCATTTTTTCAGGCAAGCCTGCCACGAGATAAGTGATTTGGATCATAATGAAAGGAACCCAAACATATATTAAATTGTAATTGAATATAACAAAGGATGGCCAAAAAATAATCCATATAGTAATAAATTGTTGTTTCTCTAACATGGTATTTGGTTCTTCGTATTTTATTCATCGTCGTTTTTTGCCATTTTGGATTTTTTCCCATTTACCCTTCATTTGTTTCGAGACACGATGTCTTTTACAAGGTACGTTTTTTAAAGTTTTTAGAACAAATTGATAAATAGAAAGTTATAGGGGAGGTTCAAGAACAGTTAACCTAATAGGACTGCTCATTCAACCGAAAGTGTCTGCCAGATGCATGCGAAAACTATTCGCTTTGTGACGTCAGTGTAGTCCTTGTCATGACAGTGTGTGTATTATTGGTTGCCGTATGCAAAACAATTATTACTTAGTTTATTTAGTTAAACACCTTATATGTATGCAGTATAGAAAATTAACTGTATAAATCGTATTAAATATTCGCATAATGCATTTTTAAGAACAGCAGTTCCCAGTATCACCTTTTGCAGACATTCTTTTTAGAGTACTTACATATTTTGCTTTAAAATAATTAATAAACAATAATTAGTAAGCACTTAGTCACAATCCACAACACAAAATGAACGTATTTATAAACTCTATAGCTGTAAAAACTTTAAAAACACCTTTTTCACATTTAAAATCGACAAAATAATTAACTCAAAATTTCTCAGCTGTTATTTTTATTAGTATCATAGGTATTTTTAGTATTGCCATAGGCAACCAATAATAGGTCATTGATTATGACAAAGACTACAATGACGTCACAACTGTCAGCTAAAGGGCGGGAAGAGGCGAACGTACGTCTTATGAGGATGAGCAATCCTATTAGTTTATCGTTCTTGGGGAAGGTTAAGAATCGCATTTTAAAATTACAACTAAAAAACCGTCTGTAGTTTCGTTCTGCCAGTTCAGTGAGGAAACACCGGTAGGTATTATTACTTCTCACTCTTGTCATATCTGCGTTGCCTCCTCTCCAGTCTGTTCTTCTCTTTTTGTGAGATGAGACTTTCTTCGCCATCTGCGGTGTTGCAAAGAGAGTCACGAGAATGGCCACGGAACGATGGGTTGCCAACAAATCTCTAGAATGGTGGAGAAACTCACCAGGGCAGAAACAGAGAAAAAAGTTAATTGAATTTTGGCGAATGTTCCAAAATTCACGGTAAACCTGATAAGCAAGGACAGAAAGACATTCAATGCTGTAGCGGATCTACTAACAGGGCATTGTAAGCTGCAGGCATCTAAAGCTAATGGGATTGACGGACGAAGCTATGTGTAGGTTCTACCAATCTGAAGAAGAAACGACAGAACACATTTTATGTCGGTGCGACAGCCTGACAAATGTGCGGTTCTCGGTAATAGGCAATGATAGGCCATTGCCAGGGAGCTACATGGAGGGTTCAGTCTCCAAGTTGCTAAACTTTGTGAAAAGGATAGGTCTGGAGAATGTAACCTAAGGATCAGATGAGGACCAAAATAGATCTGAGAAGGTCGCAGTGGATCTGGCCAAGAGCCACCTCTAGGAATCTACCTATCTACCTAGAAGATTTTTAAACAGGTGAGATTTCATACAACTGCTATTATAATAGGATCTTTTAATATTAAATAGATAAGAGAGAATGATGTATTTTCCTTTACAGATAAAAAGTGACAATTTGTGACTAAGTCGAATACCGCAAATAACTTATTAGCTGCCAATAGGGACACGTAACCTACTTTCCAGAGACACAACTACTACATTCATATTATATTTACCAGTTATAAAGGAAGAAATTAAATTTTTATATAATAATATTTTAACAATTTCTGTGGCTATATTAACATAAGCTAATACAGTCAAACATTTAGTCAAACACATATTCAACACACACGCCCTAAAGCGAACTTCCAACTCAACCTTCTGCAGCTACACGAACTATCATTTTTGGCGGTATTTTAAGTATATATGTGTAAACTCATAATAGCGCGTTACTAACCCTGTTTGAATTCCATATAGCATTTCTTGAAAAACTCTACTTCTAACACCTAATATCGCTCTAACTCCTACCAACTTGATTTTTTGCTTACTTTGACCTACCATAAATATTACATCAAATAGATGGGAATTGGCGGCAGAGTTGTCATCTAAAAGAACATTAATAGTTAACAATGGAAGAGAGATTTTTTAATATATTAATCACCTGTATTGAGGAAGAATCTAGTAAAGTCTTTCGCTATTTGATCATAATCTTCAAATTGATCTCTAACACTATCAAGGAGGGGAGAAGATGGACGCATATGTCCTATTGGTCTCCAAGATCCTAAAAAAATATTAATTAAAATGATTGCTATCGTAATCTAATAAAAAACACAGTGAATAGTTGTGGTCATTATTAATATACTACTATAAATATAAACAAAATAACACGAATAAATACGACCAAAACCAAAAGCGCTAAACGCTATATGACTTTTGGTTTGGTTGGCAATAAAGGCTATATGTTTTTGGTCGGACAACTCGTATACAGGGTTATTCAAATTCGACTCTTACCATTGGGATCTCGAAAAGTATAGGAGATACGAGGATGGTTAAATTAGGGAGAAGTTGGGTATTATTGCGGCTGATAATACACCTTTATAAACATTTAAAATTCCGAGTAGTTCCGGAGATATTCGAGAAAACCCGAAAATTGAATATATCGATTTTAGTTTTTTCTGACAACTTTATATATGAAGAAATTTGGGTTTTCGGGTTATTAGGCCGCCGTCGCGTCGTGCGTTGGTTAGAATAGCTTCCTAACGTTTCGTTAACAATTATGTGTACTTGCCTCTTCTATATGGCTTGGGAATTTGTCCCGTTTCTGCATGATTTTGTAAATTAGCAACAATATCTTCTAACATCTGTGAACGAGTCCTCTCCTGCATCCGAGCAAATTTAGGTGCGGAATAACTTGCTCTTTCCCCATTAACAATTTTTGTAAGTAACCATTCTCTGAACATGGGCCCTTTATCAAATAAACTTTGCTCCCAAAGATAAGGCTTGTATGCTCCAACTTCATCTCTTGTTACAACTGAGACCTCATATCGAGTTGGTCTTCGTTTAATTTTTAATGACGTTCTTACTGTCGAAATAAAATGTTATTAAAAACCTTATAATCAAGCATAGAACATATTTTTATAGAAATATACATTAGAGTTTTGTAATTATAAAAGTCAAACACTGCTTGATTTTAATATTTTTGGATCGTATTAATTAATTAAATTAGCTCAAAATATATTATTATTTCAATTACTCGAAAGAAAAAAGTAATAAATTTGAACAGATTCTCTTCAGTAGTCAGCTAAAAAACACAGCCGCCTATGTACAGAGTGGACCATTTTGGTTGTTACTATAGGGTATCTAGAAAACCGTGAGAAATATTCAAATTTTAATACTGCAGTCTCGGGTTCTTTTTTTGAAAAAAATACAATGGCGCAAACGGATCGTGGCTATCTGGATCGGTTTCGAAGCTACAGAGGGATTCTCAAATTTTGTACTTTTTGAAGATGTTCGAGAGTTTGTTTATTTCAGCAACCACGGAAAAATGAATTATACATTCTAAAGGCACTTTTCTGTGTACAATGCAGTGGCGCAGTCAGACTTTTTTCGAAAAAAATATTTTTGAGATATTAACTATACTTATGTTTTTTTTTAAATAGTAACCTGTATATTTTTAAATTTTCTAATTCAGCTCGGCATGGGCTTCTCGAAAATATATATCGCTCTATATTTACTTTCAGTATTAACCTCAACATTTCAAATTTTTCTTAAAATATCCACTTAGTAGATAGTAGGCCGCCCCGAGTAACAAAGTAATCCGTTATCATGGTGATCGGGACATACCTTTGATGGATGCGTTACATTTCATAGTGTGTGTATTTTAAATAGTAAAAAAATCAGTAAATTTGAAAATTTTGAGAAATATAATATGTTAGAATGTTATATTGAGCCAAACAAACATAAGCACATAACAGCTGATCTATATGTTGAGCGGTATCCAGAGCGCGAGCAATCAAACCCAGCCATTTTTTAACAGGTTAGAAGATAGTTTAATCAATTTTGGATCTTTGGAAACCGCGTCCGAAAAATTATCAGAAAGAAGATGAATGAATGAATGAGAATGAATGAAGAAGAAAATCAATATATTGTTACGTTTTTCGCCGGTTCCGTGTGGATAGAAAGTCACAATTTATTTAAACACAATTTATTTAACACTAATTAACAAAAACAATAACGATAAAAGACTTAAAGAACTATTCACAACTATATTTAGAAACTTATTTATCTGCCGTATTTATTTAGAGCAAAAACAAGAAGCCTCGACCGTAGCACACTGTAGTTTATTATCGTCTGTCTCTTGCGCACCAGCGCCGGTATATATATCGGTATATATATAGGCGTGCGACGGAGTCTAGAACGGTCTGGGCAGTGCTGGAGAATTCTTAGTCGCAGTGTTCTCGAATTTCTAGGCTCTTCTAGGTCATATTAAAGTGGGACTGGCTTCGCAACACTGCCCCCTCTTTAGATACATGCTCGTCCCGAGATGTACACGGTGAATGAAGGTACTTGCAAAGCTGGCCCCTGGTATATTGAGAAGTCTGGTAGAAATAGCAGTATACAGTTTTCTCGCCTGATCTCAGCTTTGGGTTGTAGCAGCAAACGAGGATCTCGATTCCCGTAAATCTAAACAAGACTTCAATCATGTTCCGGATTGTACGCCAACTCAAACCATCGAGTCCACACGCCAGCTTCGGAATGGCTAATCGTGTAATGTTGTTGTTTAGCAGGGTTTTAGCTCTCAGTTCAATCAGGGTCTTCCATAGATCGAGATAAGTCGGCTTACTCGGCGACCATTCCTTAGTGACCAGATAGAAGATGTGTCTTGCTTGACCATGCTCATTGTCGATTAGCCTCAAGACGTTTCCAATCTCTGGATCCTGTCGGCGTAGTTCTCCGATACGCCCAAACTTCTCATTGAACGTCGCAGCAACTCCTCTGGACATTCGCAAATCTCGGGCCACACAGTGAGCGAGCGAATAATCAGGAGGCACGGAAAAGAGGTCCCGTTGTTCTTCTTTGGTCACACCATAGCGAGCCTTCTCACTGCTGTTGTATCGGGCCATGAAGTCGTCAAAGGATATCTCCGAATCAGGGGGATCAAAGCTGCAGATTCTCACGGTCCCAGCACGATCTTCTATTTCGCCTTGGTAGGGGCTCAAACGGTTGAAATGGACTATTCTGGGTTTTCCTTTTGGCAGTTTTCTAATGCGGTATACGACGTCATTAATTCTATCCATGATTTCGTATGGCCCTTCCCACGAGGATTGTAGCTTCGGAGATAACCCACGACGTTTCTGGGGGTTGTATAGCCACACCAACTTTCCTGGTTGGTATCCTCCATGCTCAGCTTGAATGTCGTAGTGTTCCTTCATTCGGTTACTAGCGCTTAGAATATTTAGGCGGACTCGCTGATGGACGTCGTCCATCCTTTGATGTAGTGTGTGGACATAATCTTCTTCGGCGACATCTTCTCCCGGTCGGCACTTCCCGTCCCATAACGATGCTGGCTGGAGTTTGCCCTGTAGATTCTTGGACGGATGAACGGTAGGCCAACAGGAACAGGTGAAGAAATTTGTCCCAGTCTCTTTGGTGGTCAGAGACTACTTTGGCCAGATAACGGTTGATAGTTCTGTTCATGCGTTCAACCATCCCATCGGATTGTGGATGTAGAGCAGTCGTCCTGGTCTTGCGGATGTTAAGGACTTCACAGACGCCTTGGAACAAATTGGACTCAAAGTTTCTTCCCTAATCTGAATGAAGCTCCAAGGGAACACAAAACCTGCAGATCCATTCTTTAACAAGGGCATCAGCAATGGTGGACGCTTCTTGATTTGGCAACGCGTATGCCTCGACCTATTTGCTAAAGTAATCCATCACTATCACAATGTATTTGTTGCCATCGTTCGTCTCCGGGAAAGGACCAGCCACGTCGATCGCTATTCGTTCGAAGGGACTGCCTACATTGTACTGGCGCATAGGGGCTTTACACGCCTTTGTGGCCCATTGATGGCGACGCAAACGTCACATTTCTTCTTGCACCAGGCCCTCACATCTTCTTTGCAGTTCACCCAATAGAACCGTTCTCGCAGCTTGCCAAGTGTCTTGGTAAGACCGAGATGTCCACCGCTGGTTCCATTGTGAACTTCCTCCAAGACTTCCGGGACCCTCTTCTTTGGAATGACGATCTGCCTTCTCTCTTCTTGTCTGTCCGGTCTCTCGATCACACGGCAAAGTAATCCATTATCTATGACCAAGGAATTCCACTGGGCCCAGTACGACTTCACGTTCGGCGAATATCTGCAAACTTCCTCCCACGTTGGTCTTTGGTCCGCGTTTTTCCAGTTAATTACCAAGACTAATTCTGGGTCACTGATTTGGTCGTTTGCAAGATCTTCTGGTTGCCAAGTATCATTAACCACAGTTGTTCTTAGGAGTTTCGCTTCTTTCTCTTCTGCTCGGGAACAATGCTTACAGTCCTTAGCGCAAGGTCTTCTGGAAAGTGCGTCGGCATTTCGATGGATTGCCCCAGCTCGATGTTCTGTGTCAAAGTCGAATTCTTGCATCAGCATCACTTCAGCATGGTCTGTCAGAATCTGAGTCCCAAGAGAAACGCCTCTCGCCCTCGGTAAGTCTGGACAATGGTTTTGCGATGGTGGCGAAACCCTGTACATAGCGGCGATACTATGTGCATAGTCCCAAAAAGCTTCGTAGTTCATGTTTATCTTTAGGTATCGGCCACTCTTCCACTGTCTTGGTCTTCTGTGGATCTGCCGCAACTCCTTGGGAGGAGACTACATGGCCCAAGTAGTGTACCTTTTCTTGACACAGATGACATTTCTTGGGGCTAAATTTCAAACCAGAGCTCCCTAGTCGCTTGAAAACTTCTTCCAAATTCTTCAGATGATCGTCAAAGGATTTCCCAACCACTATGATGTCATCCAGGTACACTAAAGAGGTAGTCCATGATAGTGCCTTTAAAACAGACTCCATTAGTCTCTCAAAGGTAGCTGGCGCGTTGCACAATCCAAAAGGCATGACAGTAAATTGCCACAGTCCGGAGCCCACCGAGAACGCTGTCTTCTCTCTATCTTTAGGCGCCATATCGACTTGCCAATATCCACTCTTCAGATCTAACGTAGAGAATACCGTTGACCCCGCCAGCGTGTCTAGAGTATCGTCTATCCTCGGCAGGGGATAGCTATCCTTCTTGGTAACATTATTGAGCTGCCGATAATCAACACAGAACCTGGTGGTACCGTCTTTCTTCTTTACTAGTACTACCGGCGATGTCCACGGACTGTTAGATGGTTCGATGACACCCTCTTCTTTCATTTCTCGAAGGATTTTATCAGCTTCTTCACGTTTGGCGAGCGGAAGTCTTCTCGGATTTTGTTTGATTGGTCGTGCATCTCCGGTATCAATTTTATGTTGTACTAAATTGGTACGACCTCTGTGTCCTGCTTCTCCTTTATCAAACACATCTTGATACTTGATTATCAGGTTTCTCAATTTTCTACTATTTTCGTGAGATAATCCCTTAACGTTTACTAACTCCTTCACCATTTTGTCCGGAATTTTTGAAGTCGAAACTTTGGAGGCTTCCATGCTTCGAATGACTGAGGAGACCGAACACCAGTACCCTAACAGGGTTCTCTTCTTCAAGGATACAGAATAATAATTCGTGTTCATTACTCTTACCGGTACAGACTTCTTCGCTCGTAGCAGGGCTTTTCCAACAGCGACCCCTCGTCCTATTTCGCTGTCATGGTTCCTTGGCTCCAACAGAATAATACTCCCATTATTCATTTTACCTTCCAGGCAACCATCCAAAAATATCTCACAGCGTTCAGGGATCGAAACATCTTCTGCTACTACCACGCGAAGCGTCTCCTCACATTTTCGATGTAGAATCACTTCTTCTTCATTTATTTTCAAAATTCCTTGTTTGAGGTTTAGTTCAAAACCTCTAGTGGTCATGATGTCCATTCCGAGAATAAGTTCATCTTCGATGTCTGCTACTAA